AGGTAAGGCGTGTGTGCGGGGCGGAGTGGGTCCGCGTGCGGGAGAGCCGCCGGAACTCCGCATTCAGGCCACCCAGCTGTCCCCTCTGCACTGACAATCTGCTTCATCCCCTCCCTGCCCTCCGCACCCGTCACCCTTGCACACAAAGAACCTCGGGGCAGCATTCTCCCCGGTTGGGGCTGGGACCACAAAGGCACGCGGATCTGCACGGATGTTCCCGGACGGGGGAAGGAGGGAGAGACCAGATGGGTCAGACAGGCCAGAGCTCAGGGAGAGGCAGCCCCCGCCCCTCACCACCGAAGCCAGGGAGCATGGCAGTTCATTCATCCGATGCCCCAAGCGTCAAACACTGTGGAGGCCCCAGACTGGTGCCGGTGACAGAACTGGCTTTCCTGGGCGCGTGCTGCAGCTAAGCAGCTTGTAAACTGGATGCGAGTATTAGACTACTATAGAGAGTTGCTCTGAGGAGCTGTAAGCAGGGCTACTGGACTGAACTTAAGAAGAGGGGGCAGGAAGGTGGCGATGAACCTTAAACATTTCCATTTTCAGTTTCCTCCTTTGGACTCAGCTGCTTGCTGTAGGTTGCATAAGCGAGAACTTTTTGTGAGGTGAGAGTGGGGGGTGTACTTGGGACATCTATTTTCTAGATTAAGGTGATTGTAGTGATACACCAGTGTCTTCTCTTTCTTTCCCAAAGAAGCACTTCAGTGTGTGTTGGTTTTTTCAAAGGGAAAGGGGAGGCAGAGAGAGAGAGAAACATCGATGTGAAAGAGACACACATCTGTTGGTTGCCTCCTGCATGTACCCTAACCGGGCCCAGGGATGGAACCTGCAACCCAAGTATGCGCCCTGGACTGGAATCGAACCCGAGACCCTTCGGTCCGTGGGCCAACGCTCTAACCACTGAGCACCCCACCAGGACTCTATCTGTGTTCCTAGCTCTTCACAGAAATATGTCTGGGGTCTCCACTATTTTAAGGCAAAGAGATGCAAATAACTTCTAAGACTTGCTCACCTAAGAGCATCAT